CTCTCTCTCTCTCTCTGTGTGTGTGTGTGTGTGTGTGTGTGTGTGTGTATGTGGTGGATTCTTTTGACACAAATATGTTAATAAGACATGTATCCTATAAATTAACTATTCAGTCTTAACTATCATCAAGTAATTATAAACATTTCCTCTGATGTTTAAACAACTAGCGTTCCTATATTTGTCAAGTGCCCTGGTCTTGGATTTGTTGAATCTAGCCTGCCAAATGGTCTAGTGAGTTAACATTCCACCTCCTCAACTCCTCTCTTGCCCACTTAGAAATCTCTTTGTTGAGGGCAGGATGAGCATGCTGATGTTCTCCACTATTGTTCTACAACCTTTGAGATGTTATAGGAGCAATCTTTTCCCATATAGCTCTTCACTCCTCCCCACCACACCTCTCAAAATGAAAATGCAAGTTGGCTTGGGGTACATGTTATACCTCATCTGTGTGGACTAGGTTCACTCATGCTGTGCCTGGTGTTTTAAAAAGGTTTTACTTTCATTACATTTTACTCAGATTCTTTTTCTCGCATCCCTGTCTGGATTCAGTAAATGCTCCTGTACATTGTATGTATTTTATTGTATATATTATATATTGTAGGCTCTATAATATACAATAACTCTGAAACTAGTGCCTCTTTCTGTATACCTACACTCCTTTTTCAAAACCTCCCAAATCAAATTAATTACATGCAAATTAATTACATCCAGGTTCCCATTCTCTCACAAGTGCTCCTTACTTTGTTTCCACTACCCTGCCTCCCATCCTTTCTACCTGTCCTGAACTTTGGGGTCTATAAGCACAATGTAATTTCCAATCAATCCCCAACAAGGTGGCCACTGACTGACTTACCTGGGAGATGAAGGCGGGCCCATTGTCTGTTCCCAGTACCTGAGGCATCCCATAACGGGGAAAGATTTCTTCAAGCAATTTCTTAGTAATGATCTTGGCTGTTTCATGTTTAGTAGGGAAGGCTTCAACCCATCCTGAAAAGGTGTCTACAAAAACTAATAGATACTTGTATCCATATTTACCTGGTGTAATCTCAGTGAAATCTATCTCCCAATGTGTTCCGGGCCGGTAGCCTCTGACCCGGTTCCCGGGAGGAAGCTTCAGTCTGGATGCGTTGACTCGGGCGCACGCATCACATTGCTCAGTTACCTGTTTTAGAATATCATTCTTCCCCAAAAGGAAATTG